CGCAACACAAAAATTGGGGGGGGGGGGGTTCTACTATCCACTTGATTCACGGCGGCTTCTTATAAGCTGCACGGAGTCATAAACCGAAGAAAGATTTTTTCTTTCTGGTGACTAAGAGTGCCAACCGAATGGTCCAGATTTTTAGACTTACCGGTTGCATGATATGGGGAAAGGAAGCAAAATTCATGAAGATTTTTTCGGCTTGATTGTTTCAAACGACCTTATTCCTATTGGCACGTCTTTCGAAAGCTGTGAGAATTTTCCAAAAGCTTGTATTGGTTGTTTTGTGCAGATGCTGTCAGCATGCTAGTTCTAGCTTGATTTGAGGGCGATAGTTTCCCAGGTTGAAGTTTGCTCACACAACCGCGTAGAGTGAGGTACCCAGTGTTCCAGTAGGGTGCTCTGAGTGACGCGTAAATTCCACATTTCCGACTATTAAAAGGAAGAATTGGACCCGAAATTCTATGGTACTAGTTACACAATGATAAGCGGCTATATACAACAAACCTCAGTTGTCCATGTTCGTAGCTTCAACAACTCCACAATGCGCTGTCGATGTTCGCACACCAAACAACGGCAAGCGGAATGTTGGCTCAGTGGTGTGTTGCGGTCGCCCTTTCTGACGACAATTCGTGATTCTCACTGGCGGTATGATTACACGGAACTCGTGAGAAAACAAGTCAAGGCAAGATCACCAAACCGGACACAAACGCGCATGGGTAGGTAGGTCAGCTGCGCACATTGACACACACACACACACACACACATGCTAGCCTTTGCGGCAAGGTGATTGGCGAATACAGAACAAGTGGAGAGGCAAATGAACGGGGTGAATTGTCATGAGGTCAAGTTAGATTCAATACTCCGCCGAAGTATCTTGGAATCAGATGCATTGTTAGTGTCACCCAGGTGTCTTACCCTGTACCAGGTTTGCTAGGATTACGTATGGTTGACTGACATCCGATAAGGACCGACCCGTCAACGGTGACTGGTTTTTTAGCTTCTTCGTGATTTCTGGCTAAGGTAATGAAGGTTGCACTAACCTAATGGCTCTATGAAATGCGAACGTACCCCGCTGTTGTGGTAGGTCAGTCGTTTTGGTCCGAGTGCAGCCGGAGTCTTTCACCCCGCATATAGTCTTACTGACTGCGCCGACCATTCCCAACGGACTCGGTGGAGTGGTGGCCGTTTCACCAATTCACTGACTCTCGTGCTTGGCTGCTCGCATCACGTGTTTCAACCCCCTTGAATGTCGTTGATCTACCAGTGGGTCACGTGATACAAAGTTTCTGATTTCTGCTGACCTCAGCGAACAGTTAATAGCACGAGGCTCACAACTCAAAGGTTGGGTGACACAGCAACAGACTGTGAACTTGTACAGGCAAGTGGTGCGGAATTAACCCTGCGGAAGACTGATGAACGTAGTTAACCACATTGACGCATGTGCATGGGTTGTACACCGCACAATGCCACTGTTGGGTGTCTCCGAAAAGTAACTCAGTGTTCGGGTCTTGTACGGGTAGCTCAACTATATTAGCTACTCTGAAAGAAATGTTGCCTTATAGTATGTGCCCGGCAGTTTATGGCTCATATGACATACAAGTAAGAGGCGCGACCAACACTTCACACAAAGTCCTATTCCAAACCGCTGACATCAGTGTATCTTATCTACACTGTGTTATTGCTTAAAACATGGAATCATGCCTGTACTATGCTAGTCATTCATCGTACAACCTGGACTAGTCACGATGTCTTACTTTAAGACTGGAATTCATGCATTCGATGGAATCACTTGCGAATTCTCTCTGCTCCACTTCATCATCATCATCGACAGCATGACATCAGTGTTCAACACCGATGCTTCATTGCCGTACA